GCCACGACACAACCCTGCAGTGACCTCCCGTGACCTTGCCTCTCGTTGCAGGCGGCGGCGGGAGCAGTGCGTCTGGAGGGCGACGTCATCACGGCCAACGGGTCCATCCTCTCGGGCCAGTGTCCGCAGGAGGCAGCGTCCTTCACCGACCTGACCTCCGTGTGTTCCTGCACCTGCGTGTCGTGTGCGCCTTGCCCAGCGCTGCCCTTCAGGAGCGCGCAGAGGTGAGTCCGGCCGCGCGCGTCTCGGCTGCTCTGCCTTTCAGCTGTTCTGGTTTTCGCTCTCTTTTTCTTGGCTCTCTTCTTCGCCTTTTCTCTTTTTCTTTGTTTTCTTCTCGTTTTCTTTTTCTTTGTTTTCTTCTCGTTATCTTTCCTTTGCTGTCATTCTTCTCCTTTTCTTTTTCTTTTTCTTCTCGTTTTCTTTTTCTTTTTCTTCTCGTTTTCTCTTTCTTTGTCTTTGTCTGCTTTTCTTTTTCTTTGTCTTTTCCTTTCTCTTCCTCTTTTTCTTCTTGTTCTCCTTCATCATGTTTTTTTCTCCTTTTTATTTTTACTTTTATTTGTTTTTATTCTTATTTTATTTTTTATTTTTATTTTGTATTTATATTATAATCTTTCTTTTTTTCTTTTTCTTTTTCTTTCTTTCTTTTCTTCTTCTTCTTCTTTTTCTTTTTCTTTTTGTTTTTCTTTCTTTCTTTTCTTTTTCTTTTCCTTTTCTTTTTGTCTTTTCTTTTCTTCTTTTTCTTTTCCTTTTTTTCTTTTATGCATTTTTTCTTCTTTTTATCTTCTTCTCTTTCTTCTTCTTTTCCTTTTTATTTTCCATGTTATTTTTTATCATTATTCTTTTCCCGTTGTTTTCTTTTTCTTTTTCTTCTTTTTCTTTTTCTTTGTTTTCTTCTTCTTCTTTTATACTTTTACCTTTTTATGTAAATTTTTTTTTCTCTCTCTCTGTCTTATTTTTCTTCCTCTTCTTCATTTTCTTTTTCCCTTTTTCTTTTCTTGTCTTTTTCTATTTCTTTTTCTTTTTTATTTTACTTTTTTCCTTTTCTTATCTTCCCCTTCTTCTTTTCCTTATTTTTTCTTACTTCTTTTTCTTCTTCATTTCCCTTTTTCTTTCTTTCTTCTTTTTCTTATTCGTCTTCTTTATTTTGCTTTTTCTTTCTTTCCTCTTTTTCTTTTTTCTTTTTCTCTTTCTCTTCCTTGTGTTTTTGTTTGTCTTTCTGCTTCTTCTTTTTTATTTCTTTTTTCTTCTCTTTCTATATTTTTTTTCCTTTTTTCTTCTTTTTCTTTTACTTTTTCTTTTTTCTTTTTATTAGCTCCTTCTTTTCCTCCGTCTTCTTTTTTTTATTTTCTCTTTTTTTTATCTTTCTTCCTTTTCTCTTTCTCTTTCTTCTTTTTCTTTTTCTCCTTCTTTTTCTTCTTTTCTATTTCGTTTTCTCTTCCTTGTTTTTTTCTTTTCCTTCCTCTTTCTTCTTTCTATTTCTCTTCCTTGTCTTTTTCTTTTTGTTTTTGTTTTTCTTTCTTCTTCTTCTCTTTCTCTTTCTTTTATCTTTTTCCCTTTTTTCTTTTTCTTTCTTCTTCTTTTTCTCTCTCTTTTATCTTTTTTCTTACTTTTTTTTTTCTTTTACTTTTTCTTCATCTTCTACTTCTCCTTTCCATGGTATTCGTGTGTTTGTTTTGTCTCGTGATATTCATATTTGCGATTAATGTATAGTTTTTTATATTATATCGAAAGTTATTATGATATCAGTATTATAATTCATCACTCTCATAAATGCCATTACCATATCGTATTTTGATAAGTGTAGAACGTCAGATGATAATATCGGTGTGTTAATGCAATATTCCCATGCAATATCCAGTTTTGTTATTGCAGATTTTCACTTTTATAAAGAGCCACAGTAATCTTGCCGTTGCATTCCCCGCCTGCATGCGTTGCCGTAAAAAGTGAGGCTAATGTAATATCGCTTCTGTGAAAGTGTTTAATTAATAATCTCTCTTCTCCCTCTCCCCCTCCCTCCCCTGCCTCCTCCCCTCGTGGCTCCCTTCCCCCTCCCTACCTCTCTTTCATTCCCCTCTTCCCCTTCCTACCTCTGCCTCTCCCTCCACCCCCCCCCCCTTCTATCTGTGTGTTCCCGTCTCCCTCCCCAACCCACTCAAATCCATACGTTTTCCCCCCTTTTTCTTTTCCCTCTATCCTTTCTCCCTCTTCCTCTTCTCTCCCCCTTCCTTCCCTACCTATCCCATCTCCTTCAATCCTACTCTTTCACTCCCCATCATCATCTCCTGCCTCTGACCTACACCCCTTCCACCCTCCAGCATGCGGAAGAACCCCATCAGCCTGGCGTACATCCTGCCGCACCGCCGCAACTTCCGCAAGAGCCAGTCGCAGCACCACCAGGTCACGCACACGGAGACGCAAGAGGACCTGTGTTCTTCGTCCGAGTTCGAGGCCGTCGCGACGCCAGCGCACCTGCAGAAACGGAACTCTGTCTAGCCTCATGGCGTTCGGAATATAGAAAAAGCGAGAGGAAAAGATAATATGAGAGAGAGAGAGAGAGAGAGAGAGAGAGAGAGAGAGAGAGAGAGAGAGAGAGAGAGAGAGAGAGAGAGAGAGAGAGAGAGAGGAGAGAGAGGAGAGGAAAATGCATCAGAAAATAAAAAAAAGAACGTAAAGCTGCACGTGTGGGATGGATAGCAAAGGAAGGTTTATGTAGCATGCAATATTGTTAGTGCTGATAGATTTTGTTTCATGCTGTAGACTCAAAAAAAGAGGCAGATTGACAAGAGCGAGAACAGCGTTATTGCATACGCGAGTGATATTGAGAGGGAAAGTGCAGTGTGTTTATCAGGACGAAATAAATACAGTGCATTAACAACAGTTCGTCACTCTGAGTTACACACACTTATGACTGTGTGATGGTGAAGAATGAAGTCACAAGTCATTATTTTGACGTGTGGACGTTTGTGATATGAAATTATATGAAGCCAACATTTTAATTTTGTCCAGAACCATCGCGGATTCTGAAACGCTTTCAAGATCAACATATTATTTGTTCAGATTCGAGGTGGTGACGAAGATGAAGAAGGATGCCGTCCCAATTTTCCCTAATGCTAAAGTCATTTGCCTTGATCTGACATGACCTCGTCTCGCTGTCAGGAGCTGCCCGAACGGTCCAGGGGGCGGAGATCCGACTCGAGGTCATGTGAAGATATGTGGGAAGGTTCAGCGCGCGGAGGTGACCTCGGAGACGTGAGGGCTGAACGGAGGTGTTGCGAGGAACTTGCTGGGTCTCTCCTTGCAACCCGATGGCGTCGAGGAGCCTCGCGTAAGTGGCCGAGGAAGCTCTGACGTCCAGGCCCAAAAAACTGAGGTTACTGAAGAGAGCGCGAGCAACCAGCCTTGTTTGGATCCCCCGAGGAAGTAAGCAGACCATGTTCAGATATCAGGAAATCGGTTGTTTTGACTGGATGCAACTGGAACGTTGGAAATGGAACCCAGAAGACTACGGGAAGAGAAGCAGGTAGCACAGCTATCGCCCGCCAGACGTCGAGAGATCAGACGATAAGTCTGGAGACTCGGTCCAGGTCTTTGGGCAAGATGGAATCGCGATTCCCGCTCTCACTTGCAGGAATCGCGACCTTTCTTGTAGAGGCAAGAGGAGTCTCTTCTCGAGGTCCTAGAAAGAAAAGGTTCCAGGTCGCCACTGCGTGACTCAGACGTAGGAAAGCAAAGGTTGTTTGTTTGAGAGACTGGGCAGTTGGGACTCTTTGTTCCAAGCCCAACCGCCATGAAATTTATTCTTTACTGTGTTCTTAGGATAAGGCTTCAGACCTTGTTGTTTTACTATGGTAATTGGCATTTGAAAATATTTCTATTGATTATTCGTCAAGAAAATTCGCCTCATTCTTTATCAGACTATTTTTCCGTATTTTATCTTTTGCATGATAATGTAGCACGTCTGTTTTGGCAGGGAAGAAAAGGTGACAAAGTGCATGAGCTAAGGAAGAAGAAAAATAATCGTGTATGTATGTTGTTGCTGTGATAACTTTCTTCACAATATGCAAATTAAAGAAGTTGTCGAGAGCTGCGTAGCCAGAATGGTCAGTGTAAATACTATACAGAGATATTTCTCATATATATAGGAAGCATTTATCATGCCAGTAACCAGAGGAAGTGTTTAATAAAAAAAAAAGAATATATAAAAAAAATCTCGTCACTAACTGCGACTGGTATCATTCAACAGAACCTCTTTCAAAAAAAACGTTATAGTGTTAGACAAAATAGCGTCCAAGTGGCTACGAGTTCACTTTAATTTTTCACATATTAATAGTTGCTATCATGGCGCTAGATTTGGGCAGAATTATTACTAAATAGACATATAAGCCTCCAAAACGAATTATTTTTAAGCCTTATATTCAAGAGAAAGTTTCATGATTGACGCGAAAGAAGTCTTCAGACAACTAAGTCAGAAGTGAATGATCCCCATTTCTCTTCTTGAAACCTTTTTAGGGCCTTTTCGAATTCTTTCTTTTCTTTCCGACTCTCTGCATTTGCCACAAGAGCTTCATGAACGAGATCTGTTCTTTACTTCACGATTCTTCAAGTGCTATTAGAGGACCCAGAGGACTGTGCCAGTTACGAGACCGTGACATTTTTGCCCACTTCGCTGCCACCTTTTTGAAGCCCCCGATCTTGCATCCTCATCTAGCATACCATCCATTCTCTTTCTACTTTATCACTGTCAGAAATCATACCTCGTAATGTTATCATTATTATGAGTGTTATTATTATATTTATTTTGACGCTGCTGCAGCTTCTTTCTCGTTGCCTCTAATATTATTTGCGTTATTCTATTCGTGGCATAACACTCGTTGTGTCCAGCACTTATCCTTTAATCTCTTTTTACATGCATTTATCGTATATTCTATGACGTTTCCGAAGCATCATTCCTCACGGTAACATCACCCTTCCCCAGCGCCACCGAACACCAAAACAGTTCGGCAGTTCATCATTCTTCCCTTGATCTACTTCCGTGCAGGCCTACTCTGTCTTACACAGCATCATTACAACTTGCATTTCCATTTCAACGTCACCTGCCTCTTAATCACACTAAAGCTCCCCTCCCCTTCCCCCCCCCCCCAGTCCAGCGCGGCGTCCATTTCCATCCCTGAGGATAGCCACATCCCTCGGTGTACATACTGTAAATTCCTCCTTGCCACAATGCGGGTTATTGGCCTGAACGGAATTGATGCCACCCTTCAACTTTCCAATGTGGACCGAGAGGCGCGTCCGAGTGGATTAGAGGCACATAAATTGATGAACTAGAAACAAATGCCCAACCAGACCGGCAACTGAAGTGACCTCAAAGTGTGTCTCGCAGAAGCACATTTGCGTTGAAGCAAAGTCTTGCCTTCGGACTTCCGTTTGCCTTTTCTTCTTTCCTTTCATGTCGGTGAGAATTGCATCGTGATATTGCAAATCTATAATCTCCATATGAGCACCCATTGTTCTACCCCTAATCGAGGTCTGCATATTCATTTGATATTTTTCATCTGATCTTGTTTTATACCTGGGGTTCCCTTTTTGCTGGGCCCACGGCGGTGTCCCCTCTGGCCCTCGGCACTGGCGCTGCCTCCCTTGCCAGATCGGATGCGCCTCCGCGGCCCGGCTTCGGGGAGTGCATGCTGGCCTTCCACATTGGGAGGAGCGCATGAGACCCTCAGAGCCACGGCGGCGGCTGTATAGTACTTTACAGTCCTCGCTTTCATTATGGCATAACCTCGGCTTCTATAATATCTCTCTTTTACTGAGGTCAGCCAATGCCTTACACGATAGACTAGCTCGTCCATAAAAAAAAATGGGAAAAAATATATATGTATTTTTAAATATTTCTTTCCCCAAAGGTATGTTTTAGCCATTTTTTTCCGAACCCATTCTATCGCACAACTTAGGACTTGCTCTTAATAAGTTCTCTTTGGCATCATGGCCATACCATTCGTTACATTACAGCTGGGTGAAAGTCAAGTGGACAGTGCGTGAGTTAGCTCCTTCTCTAGCAATTGTCTTAAGTGGAGTTAAAACCTATCGTTTGTTGTTATTGTTGTTAAATATATATATATCCTTTCTTCTTTCTTATCTTCTACAATCTGCTACAGCTGTTTCGCACACCGGTCTCCATCTTGTTTTCCCTTTTTTTCCTCGTCATATTTTGAGACATGAGAGCCAGGATGCCAGAGGTGTGCCAGAAAGGTTGTCCGAGCAAGCGAGCTGCACTGGCACGCAAGCCATTGGCACTTATAAGGCAGTACTGCTAACTGCGAGTGCCTGTTGGCTTCCGTACCCTCCATCAGCACGACACTTAGCAGCTAGTAAGGATGTTATTCTTACCGTTAAATCTTGAATTGTATGTTCTGAAATCTGTTACAGAAAGAAATATTTTGATTAAGATTAGATATAGGACAGTCAGAACCTTAATCCATTATATTAGACCACTTTTATACATGATCCTCCAAAAGCAGTTTTGTAGGATTTCAAAAACGGAAAAAATAAAAGTTTTAGCCATGCCCCTGTAACAAGGAGGTACTTATTACATTATAATCGTAAAGATAATAGCTAAACAATATATTCCATTTACAGGCTATTCATTCATAGCCATTCTGTATCTATTTGTAATAAACTTATCTCTCTTTACAATGTATATATTTATACCTTATTACATATATTGGCCAAAAACAGTATGGTTCTCCGAGGCAAAAAGCGAACTATATTTACCTAAGACTAATTTACATAAATTAATGATAGCGCTATAGTCGAAACGGACCCTGGGACTGTATCCGTAGAAAGAGTAAACAAAATGAAATTTAAAAAAAATGTAGGCACTGTACACTGTCAGACAGTAACACCAGGAAACACAATAAATTCCAGTCATGCATATTCAGGGAAATCCTCTGATGGGTGTACACTGTAATAGCAAACAAATCCTAGGAATGCATATCAATAGAAATCGATTCCCGGGACTGGAAACCAGGCAGAACTAATCCTAGAAACAATACTTAAGAAAGCGAAGCCACAGAGCACATACCGGAAGGAAGGAATCGCAGAAAACCAATAACAGTAGAGAACGGATCCCCATATAGCTTACTGAAGCAGAAAACTGATCTTGGAAAATTGAAAAAAAAGGCACAGTACAAAACGGTAAGCATCAGAGGCAACAAACCGTATTTTGTGGATAGTTACCTGATGCTGTCTTCATATACCTGTCTACCAAGATATTATGTCAATTAAGTTTTACAATACAAAAAAGTTACATTACTAAAAAAAAAAAAAAAACGTGTCCATACAATGTGTTATTGCTATTGTTGATAACATTTGCAGGTACTAAAACATGCACACGTCTCTCGAAGAGGTGTCTTTTATGCGTGAAAAAAAAAACAAAAAAGGGAAAAAAAACACTCAAACGAAGGAAAGCATGACTAATTAGCGAGCGCGTGTCACAGAGGC